TATCTTAAGCAGAGTTGTTTCTAAATATATCTTGTTCTAGAGACAAGGGAAAAAAGTAAAATTAAAGCTGCAAGCAGCGTTGAAAGGGTCCTGAATTGTCAGAAATTAACTGAATATTGGCATGTAGATGTCTTCAGGCCAAACATGTGAAGTTTGGGGCAGATCGGACATGACGTTGCATGTTTAAGTTAATGTAAAACAAGTAATTTCAGTAGGTGGCGCTATGATTATAAATTAATATTGACCTTTAGATGTGTTCAGGCCAAGACTCTTATCAAACGTGTTAAGTTTGGAGCAGATCTGACATTGTATGCCTGAGTTATAGCAACTTCCTGTTTCATGGCGAAACATCGAAATTTGCCAGGCCGTCACGGACACGACCTTTGACAAAAACTCAAGAGCTTTACAATTTAGCATCCCAAAGGCCTTATGATTACATTCACCAAATTTGAAGATGCTCCGATTAAAACTTTAGGAGGAGTTCTTTAAAATACGAGGCCTGAAAATGGCAAAACTGCACAAAAGCCGCAGAAGAAATTCAAAATGTCTGACTTCCTGTTGCGTTTAGGACTTTTTTGTAGGTATTGGGACATTACATGCTTGTCCCGAAATTTGTACACGTACGTGAAACATAGCGGGAGGGGCACTTCTTTGAAATTTTAGGTGGCGCTATCAAGCCATTTTGCCACGCCCAATTCTGAAACCCATTGCCACTTTTTGCAATTAAATCGTTTTGTGAGTCATTTAATTATTCACTGAAGTGATTCTTTTATGAAACGGCACTACTGTGTGTTACTTAGAAACATGCAACAGTTGATTCTGCTTTAACTTTATTTGGAACTATTTTAATTGGCGGAGCAAAAAATATGCAAAGAAACTGACAACATTGTGTCTAAAATATAAATTACTCACTATTAACTTCTTGTTTATTGAAAATAATAGTTCAATAAACTAAGCCAATACTGAGTGACATGCTTGCAATCATGCTTTTGTTCTGAATATATTAGAATTGGATAGCTGGAACAACAGCATGATTATTTTGCTAAATTATTTTGTATTCTTAATTCAATTTTGTGTAATAATGTTTTTACTTTTGGAATTCAGATTAAACAATGAGTTAAAATAGAGAGGTCAAAAGATTAATCTGCAATTACTCGAAAATTTGTCAGACTGCCAATAGAAGGTGAAGTCGACAATGCATTGTGTCAAGTCAACAGTACAGTATGCTTTGTTGTATACTGCACATTTAAATGAATGTCATTTGGCTTTTCTTTGCAACAGAAAATTCTAGTCATTTGCAAAGAATAAATACTTCATATTGCAGAAACAGTAAGAGCATCGTGTTAGTATGCTATTCCAAACATAACCAACTAAACACAAGGCACAGAAATAGCACACTTCACCTTTAATGGCCGTGCGCTCGCTTATTTGCTGGACAGACTCCTTTGTGCAAACTGGCTTGGACCCTGTTGGATTGTGTGTCCGCTTGCATGTGTTTGCCATATGTACACACACACACACACACACACACACACACACACAAATCCAGCGCACCATCAGTCTCTTCAAAAGCAGCTTGCACCCCTGAGGGTGGAGACCCCTGATCAGGGGAGATTTAGCATTTCTTTCTGAAAAAGGAAAACAGTCTCAGTGTCCAGAGGCCGAGATGGAATGCTAATGAAACCGCAGAAAAGGCTATTTTTACACACACGTTTCCCCTTGACATTGTTTCATATCTCTGGGTCACCTCAACGCTGCGCCTGAGGTGTTTATGCTGGCGAGAAGACACACAAGATCAATTGATGGCATTGAAAAGCAAACGAGAAACAACAGTGAGTCATGACAGAGTCAGGAGGGCTGGTTTCACTCTTGCAAGGAAATGTGTCCAACACTGTGATCGGCAGGAATGAAAATAATCAAAAGGGGGGTGTACGAAGCGTTCTGTCCTCGTACTGAACACAGGCCGCCCTTCTCTGTCCAGCGGGGTGCTGCTTGACTTTGCCAAACTTGGTCTGCTGGAGATACAGCTATTGTACTGTGAACACACAGCAAACATTTAAGCAACACTGTGAATATCATTATGATTTTAATTTGGCCATACAGACTAAAGACTAAAACTAGTTAGAATAGTTAGACTCAGACTAGTTTCACATCCTTTCTTGTCTAGAGACTTGCCAGCGTAATCACACAAAGACTGATTTGGTTAGTGTTGGTTAGTTTGTTAGTTAGCGAGTTAGTTTGAGTGTTTCAGTGAATTCAAACACCTGCAATGAACTGATTAATAACTGATTCAATGATTCACTTGCAGCATCATTCGTATTAGTGAAAATATATGTAGGATGCAAGTAAATATTGCTATATGATTTTTACTTATGAATAGTTGAATAATTAATCATTTTGAAATAAAAGATGCGTATATATTTTTTTTTTTTAA